GCACCTCAGCCTGAGCTCTGGATGGGAGCTCCCCTCTGCCCCAGACACCATGTTGCAAACCCTTGAGGAGCATCCTGGATGGAGGCCTTTGCTTTTTCTCTAGAATTGTATGTGCTGCAACCTTGTAACCTTGGTCTAGTTGGAACAGGACTGGGGGCTTTTCAGGCAGTAGGAGAGCCCCAGTTACCCCCAAACCAGCCTCCTGCATCCCCATGGGTTCCAAGGCTCCCCATGGGGCTGGGCAGTGTAAGCCAAGGAGCCACAGGTTCAGACCTCACTGTGTCTTGGGTTGAACACTCCTATGTGCGTGCATCTTTCCACACAGCCACTCACCATCCCCAGTGTCCCCAGCCTGCTAAGTGGGGCGGGGCAGGGAGAGGTGAGCTTGCCCAGGTGGCAGAGCTGCTGTTTGACCCCCAGCTGCTGTGGCTCTGTTGCCTATGCTCCTGGCCACCTGCTCTGCAACCCAGAGGGGCCCTGGGGAGCTGCTTCTGCGGCGGCCGCGGCATGAGTGACCCATTGTGGTTTCATTCAGGCTGCTGCCGGGCTGTGTTCTCCGCCTTTATAAACCAAGGGGATAGCACCCTATACATGTTAGTCTGCAGCTTGCTTTTTTCATGTAACAGTCCCTCAAGAGCTCTGTGCATGAAATGTTATATATTTTTAACATATTTTTTCCTTTTTAATACAGTTAGCCTGTCTCTCAGGAGATTGGTGGGTTTTTTTCTCAATCCATGGTTGTATACTCAAAATCAGCATTTTAAAATTTCTGAGAGGACAGTTATGATCTGATAAAGTGTATCATGGGATGTGCCCCTGCTCCCCCACCTTTTGAAAAACAGGAGTATTCATGTAGGAATAGGGATTTATGCTATTAATTTGTTCCCAGGAGGAATGGGTTAAAATAAATTGAGAAGTGCAAGTGCCAGTCTGAGGCACTGGGTCAGGGAGGGAAGAGGCCAGTGCTATTCTGCCTGGGTGTGCACCGGGCCTGGGGCCACTCACACTTGGGCTGCCTTGCTCATTCGTGCCCCAGATAACCTACTGAGTACCTGCCCAGATGCTGGGTCGCATCACGTACAGACACCCAGCCCTCAAGGAGTGGACATATGTGGGTTACGGGGTCTGCACCGGGCATGGGGAAGTCTGGTGTGTGAGCACCTGACATCTGTGCTGGAAATACTCATGAAGCTGTCCCGGGAAGCACAAACTCCTGTCAGCGAGGCTCCTCTCCAAGGTGGGGCTTTCAGGTGTGAACTGGGGCCTCAGGCTTGGGTGCTGCTTGGTTCCCGAAGCCTTGGAGCTATACAAGAACTGCCCTCCCCATCTGCCTGGAAGGATGTAGATGCTTTGTGAGTCCAGCTACTACACTCTGAGCAGTATTGCGTTTTTCTTGACTTCATCTTTTTTCCTGTGCCTCAGTTTCCCCATCTAATGCAGGAGGGGTGAGTGCCCTGTAAATGTTTATTATTAAAAAATGGTGACATTAGCCTTCCGTACCCCTGACTCCCAGTTCCCTCCCTGGAGGCAGCTAGGGCCCTGGGTCAAGAGTGCCTTTCTGGAGGTGTTCGTGCTTATGTGAGTATGAGTGCTTGTGCATAAATCCCTTGTCTTTTTTTTTTTAATTTTGATATCATTAATGTACAATTACTTGAGCAACATTATGGTTACTAGATTGCCCCCATTATCAAGTCCCCCACACATACCCCATTACAGTCACCATCCATCAGTGTAGTAAGATGCTATAGAATCATTACTTGTCTTCTCTGTATATACTGCCTTTCCCATGTCACCCCCCCTTGCATTATGTGTACTAATTGTAATGCCCCATTTTCCCCCTTATCCCTCCCTTCCCACCCAACCTCCCCAGTCCCTTTTCCCTTGGTAACTGTTAGTTCATTCTTGGGTTCTGTGAGTCTGCTGCTGTTTTGTTCCTTCAGTTTTTGCTTTGTTCTTATGCTCCACAGATGAGTGAAATCATTTGGTACTTGTCTTTCTCCACCTGGCTTATTTCACTGAGCATAATACCCTCTAGTTCCATCCATGTTTTTGCAAATGGTAGGATTTGTTTTCTTCTTATGGCTGAATAAAATTCCATTGTGTATATGTACCACATCTTCTTTATCGATTCATCTACTGATGGACACTTAGGTTGCTTCCATTTCTTGGCTATTGTAAATAGTGCTGCGATAAACATAGGGGTGCATATCTTTTTCAAACTGAGCTGCTGCATTTTTAGGGTAAATTCCTAGGAGTGGAATTCCTGGGTCAAATGGTATTTCTATTTTGAGTTTTTTGAGGAACCTCCATACTGCTTTCCACAATGGTTAAACTAATTTACATTCCCACCCGCAGTGTAGGAGGGTTCCCTGTTCTCCACATCCTCGTCAACATTTGTTGTTGTTTGTCTTTTGGATGTTGGCCATCCTAACTGGTGATATGTCATTGTGGTTTTAATTTGCATTTCTCTGATGACTAGCGATGTGGAACATCTTTTCATGTGTCTGTTGGCCATCTGAATTTCTTCTTTGGAGAAGTGTCTGTTCAGCTCCTCTGCCCATTTTTTAATTGGATTATTTGCTTTTTGTTTGTTGAGGTGCATGAGCTCTTTATATAATTTGGATGTCAACCCCTTATCAGATATGTCATTTATGAATATATTCTCCCATACTGTAGGATGTCTTTTTGTTCTACTGATGGTATCCTTTGCTGTACAGAAGCTTTTTAGTTTGATGTAGTCCCACTTGTTCATTTTTGCTTTTGTTTCCCTTGCCCAGGGAGATATGTTCATAAAGAACTTGCTCATATTTATGTCCAAGATGTTTTTGCCTATGTTTTTTTCTAAGAGTTTTATGGTTTCATGACTTACATTCAGGTCTTTGATCCATTTTGAGTTTACTTTTGTGTATGGGGTTAGACAGTAATCCATTTCATTCTCTTGCATGTAGCTGTCCAGTTTTGTCAACACCAGCTGTTGAAGAGGCTGTCATTTCCCCATTGTATGTCCATGGCTCCTTTATCGTATATTGACCATATATGCTTGAGTTTATATCTGGACTCTCTATTCTGTTGCACTGGTCTTTGGGTCTGTTCTTGTGCCAGTACCAAATTGTCTTGATTACTGTGGCTTTGTAGTAGAGCTTGAAGTCAAGGAGCATAGTTCTACCTGCTTTATTCTTCCTTCTCAGGATTGCTTTAGCTATTCGGGGTCTTTTGTGGCTCCATATGAATTTTAGAACTATTTGCTCTAGTTCATTGAAGAATGCTGTAGGTATTTTCATAGGGATTGCATTGAATCTGTAGATTGCTTTAGACAGGATGGCCATTTTGACAATATTAATTCTTCCTAGCCAAGAGCATGGGATGAATTTCCATTTATTAGTGTCCTCTTTAATTTCTCTTAAGAGTGTCCCATAGTTTTCAGGGTATAGGTCTTTTACTTCCTTGGTTAGGTTTATCCCTAAGTATTTTATTCTTTTTGATGCAATTGTGAATGGAATTGGTCTCCAAATCCCTTGTCTTTTAACTCCAGTAGCATGATATGCTCTGCACTGTTCTTCACCCTTGTTTTTTAGTGTAAGATGTCTCAGGTCAGTCCAAGACTTCGTGTAGACCTGCCTCGTTCTTTCACATAGCTGTGAATGTCTCCTTGTACAGATGCTAAAAATGCATTCTCCGCACCTCACAACACCCTGTTGCCATGTTTCATCGAATCTAAGACAACATCCTCTGAAGATACACCATTATTGTATGTAATACCAAGGATTGGTGATGCCCAGTTAAACCAAGACAGGCTGCCAGTCCCGATGCTTCTGGAGTCCAGCAATGTCCAAGCAGGGAAAACAGTCCGTTGTAGGACTGCTGGACAATGCAAGTGGTGTTATTTGGGGTGTGAGGATATGGAGCCTCAGAGGAGCGTGGCACACAGTGCCCCCTGTGTGACAATGGGCAGGGGCCTCAGTCACCCTGCTGCCTGGGCTGGGGGCTGACTCTGGAAGATGCCTGGCTGACTATGCTCATTGGGGCTAATTGAAATTGCTGTGGTTTGGGAGGATGCCTTTCTGTGCTCTTTGAGTTTTCTCAGTCCTAGTGAACGTTTAATTTTTCCTACTGTAAATGTGGCTGCTTTATAGACATAAGCAAAATCCATAGGGTGTTCAACATATATTGGGTTGAACCACCTAAAATTATGTGGTGGATCAAAAATGAGGGGGCAGGGTACAGACAATTTGGTATCATTCAGCCTCATATTTTTTTTTGTTTGGTCTTTGGTCATTTTTACTTATCTTTTCTAGGTGATGTTTTCCCTTTATACAGACATCAAAAAATTGTTTCTCAGCAAGTTTTGAATTAAGAGTGACAGTACTGGTTTATTGTTCTGAACCCAGGCTCCCTTCTCTGGGACCGACCTGCTTCCCTGTCCACTGCCTCCCTCTGCACATCCCTGCTCCACCAGGATCCTCTGCCCTTCACTTATCCTCCTGCAGACGGCCCCTCCACTGAGTCATGTCAGTCGGCTCTTGCCTTGTAAGACCTTCAGATTTTTCGGCTAATGAATGTTTCCTTTCACTCTTGGTTTTCTTTTATAAAATGCTGGTCACTGGTACACTTGAACTTGTCATCTCTTTTGGAGGAGTTCGGAGGAGCACTGCCTCCCCCTCATTCAAGGCTTAGGATGGCAGCTTGTTTTCGAGGGGCTGTGGAGAAAGGTGGTCTCCCCTTTGTGGTTATTTAACTGCGGCCTGACTTCAAGTGACCCTCAGGCCAGACCATTCCTGGGACATAGATGGTCTCTGTCCGTGTTCCACCCTTACCCTCCCCAACCGGCCACAGCCAGAGGACATGTCAAATTACAGTCGGGTCCCATCAGCTCTCCCAGCACAGATGGATCTTGTCAAAGTGCACAAAGGTGGTTGGGCATTTGCTTGCCCGTTGGAGAGGATGCGGCTCAGCCCTTTCTTCCCCAGGGGCTCATAGATCCCCTGACATGTCCCACGCAGGGAGGAGTGGATGCGGGCCATCCAGATGGTCGCTAACAGCCTCAAGCAGCGGGTTCCAGGTGAGGACCCCATGGACTACAAGTGTGGCTCCCCCAGCGACTCTTCTGCAGCCGAGGAGATGGAGGTGGCAGTCAGCAAGGCGCGGGCCAAGGTGGTAAGTGCTGGGGGGTGGGAGGTGAGCACCCTTTCCCCCAGCATTGGCCCTGCTGCCCGTGGTTTCCATGCAGAGTATGCAGGGACCCAGCCTGGCACTTGGTGACTGCTATGTAGTAGGGGTGTGGAGGATGCCCCTGGGCTGCTCTGTGCCCATGGGGTAAGGCCTCATCTTGAGAGAGAGTGAGAGCTGTCTCCTCCCGTACCAGGGAGAGCTAAGCAGTAGGAGAGTCTCTGTCTGAAGGCCAAGTACTTCGGAGCAACAGCTCTTCCCAGAACCTCCTTTCCTGCTCATGCCTGAACATTTTGGCAACAGTGTCCTTTGATTTTCCTTTCTCTTTGTTAAAATTTCCTCCCACGGACTGTGTGCCAAGTGCTGACTGTCCCACTCTCTCCATCCTGGGCAGACCATGAATGACTTCGACTATCTCAAACTCTTGGGCAAGGGCACCTTTGGCAAAGTCATCCTGGTGCGGGAGAAGGCCACCGGCCACTACTATGCCATGAAGATCCTGCGGAAGGAAGTTATCATTGCCAAGGTGGGTGTTCCCAGGGCTACTGTTGGCTGGCCTCTGAGGAGGCACACCCGGAGCCTGACTGTGCTGGGGAGTCCACGTAGGGCTACAACCCTTACCTGTGCCTTCTGCTGCCAAAGGCTCATTCCTCCCACCAAAACCCATCCCCTGGGCCCAGCTCTGCAAGTCCCCAGGGAACGGGACCCTGAGTCACAGAGAGAGTGGGCCTGCCTGCCGAGCCCCACCCCAAACACACACTCTGGGTGCCAGGGGAACAAAGAGGAGTCTGACCAGGGTCTCACCTGGCAGGGCTGGCAGGCAGGGCCCTTGAGATGATAAAGGGCCTTAAGGGAGACCAGGAGGGTCGGGGTGTAGCTCAGGGTGTCTTAGTAGGTGGCTGGGCCAGGAAAGGAATTCTACTTCTTTTTTTCCTTATTTAAAGTTTTTAAAATGGAAAATTCCTGATGTACACAAAAATTTTGAAAGAAAAATATAATGGACTCCCATGTAGCCATCATCCAGATTCACTAATTATCAGCATTTGGCCAGGTCGCTTCCATTAGCTCTGTCTTCCCATTTTTGTTCTGGAGTATTTTAAGGCATGTTCTAGACATCATATAATTTCACCCATACATACTTAGATGTGTATTTTTAACAGATGAAGATTTTAAAGACTGTAATTATGTGATTATATCCAGCAAAATTAACAATCCCCGACATCATGGGTCAAAGGCAGGGTTTCTCAGCCACAGCACTGATAGCATTTGGGGTCAGGTCATTCACTGTCCCTGAGTTGTGATCGTCGGAATGTCTTTAAACATTATTACCAGATGTCCCATGGGGACAGACTCAGCATCTGGGGACTGCAGATGTTTCAGGATACGTAGCAGCATGCTGGGCGACTGCCATGTGCTCAGATACCAAACCTGAGCCTGTATCAGAGTCACTGGGAGGTCCTGTGAAGCTGGTGCTGGGACCCCCTGAGTTTCTGGTTCTGTGGGTCCAGGGAGGGGCCTGAGAATTTACATTTCTCCAAGTTCCCAGGTGATTCTGATGACTCCAGTGTGGGAGCCACACACTGAGAACCATTGCTCTGCAGCCTAGTCAGGGTTAGATCTTATTCTTTCTCAGCAAGAATGTTTATACGTGGTGACACTCCCAAACTATGGTGTCAACTCAGGGTTCTCATAATGTCTGCTTGTCCCCCACTTAGGGATGTTAAAATTGGCCTATGAGTTCAGGAGATAACAACCTGATCCCTCTGTCAGCAGTCCCCATCAACTTGTCACTTCGTGTTTTTGAGACCGAGCCACTGATTGTCCTTGTCTGGGTGCATCATGTCTTTAGGGCCGTCGAATGGTGATGCTCTCCTCCTGTCATTCTCTGCATGTTGGCTGGGAATAGACTTGCATTTCACCAAGACACTGCTCCCCCGTCCTTTAGGTTGGCGGGGTGCAGGTAAGGTGCTGCCCACCAGCCTCTCACCTGGCCTCTGTCTGCAGGATGAAGTTGCCCACACAGTCACTGAGAGCCGGGTCCTCCAGAACACCAGATATCCCTTCCTCACGGTGAGTGGCCCACGGTCGCAGGCTGGGCCGAGCCTGCCTGCATGCCATGCGTGGGGCCTCCAGGCCCACCCCTTCGGGCAGAGTGCAAGGAAGGAGAACCCTGCCACTGTGAAGCACAGGCTTAGGACTGGCCAGGTGGCTGGGGCCAGGTGTGGTTCAGACAGCCTGGGGTGTCAGCTTCATCACAGATGGTGGGTGGCTTCAGGGGTGTGACTGCTGTCGTCATGAGTTTGAGGTGCTTAGCACAGCTGGACAAAGTTACTCTGTTTTTGATTTTGTTTCATATAATGTAATCCTGGAAACAGATGTGTCATTGTGCTGCCTGCCAGCTCAGTCTGAGCAGACACCTCTTTGGGCTACAGTCTCTGTCAAGGCCAGCAGCCGTCAGTTAAGTGACCCAGGTTAAGGATGGCTTATGGGTTGTTTCTTTAGCTCAGCTGCTGGGCAGATGTCCTGAAGCCTTGGCACTTTGGTACTTGTTCAGATGAAATCTTATGAGGTACTTCAGTGTAGAAGACACAGAGCAGTAGACTTATCCTGGGCAGGGGGTGGGCTCCTTAGAGCTCAGGTTGAGAACCACTGTTTGTTGGCAAATCACTTGTCCATCCTGTCTCTGGGGTTGGCTTCCAAGCCACTGCCAACTCCCTGCCAGCAGACATTGTGTGTGTGAGAGACAGTTTAACACTTTTGACTATAAAACAGGAGGATGAAAGATGTAAAATAGCTCTGATGGCCAGAACATATTCTCTCCTTGCTGGCCATGCCTCTTGGAGGCTTCCATGAAGGCAGAGGACAGGATCGTACAGCACATTAACTCCTTCCCTGCCCTCAGACCCATGAGCTTACATACCCCCAAAAGGTGAGGCTGAGGTCCAAGCTCCAGCTACCTGGGCCAGGGCAGGGCATGTATCTGCAGAATCAGCAGTGCCCCTGCCCCCCGGGGTTTGGCAGACAGTCCTCCTTCTTTCCTCCTCCTACCACAGTCACCTGCCTTCCCCACAGGCGCTGAAGTATGCCTTCCAGACCCACGACCGCCTGTGCTTCGTGATGGAGTATGCCAACGGCGGTGAGGTGAGCCCCAGCTGCCCAGCCTGGGTCCCGTGTGCTTCCTTCCCAAGCGTGGTGGGAGGCAGACAGGAACTGTGGTGAGGTGGAGGGGTGCAAGGGAGATGTCCTGCCTACTGCCCGTCAGATCGTTTCCCCCCGGCCCTTGAGGCAGGCATCATCACCTCCATTTTGCAGGTGGGGAAACTGAGGCTCAGAGAGGTTAAGTGGCTTGCCCAAGTTCATACCACCACTGAGTTGGTGGGCAGGAGCCAAATCCAGGTCCAGAGAGGTGTACAAAGGGCTATGGGGTGGTTGGCCGACATGCTGCAAAGAAAGCATCTGCTGGTGCAGCTCCACCAGGCCTCGGTGTTCCTGACTCTTCCTGGTGAAAGACACCAGCCACTCGCTGTTGCTGAGCTGCTCCCAGTCACTCCTCGTCCCACACTCCCTACTCTCTGCATGCAGGTCCCACTGCGCATTGTCACTGGCTCGTGACTTGAGTTCCTCTGCTTTCTTGCTGTCACTCCCTCATTCACCAGTCCCTTCGTGCCACCCCCTTACTCTTCCCTTGGCGCCTCCTGGCTGCCTTTGCTTTTCATTTCTTGCTTGGTTTTTTTTACTCACATGAGCTTGTCTCTCCTCACCGTCCCTCAGTTGACCATTCTTGCTTCACCTGCCGCTGCCTGGAGCAGGTGTTCCCGTGTCACTGGCCTGGGCGCCATGGGCCGGCAGCCAGGTCCTGTCCACCCCTCCTCTGGGCCAGGGGTCTGACCTCTTCTTCCCTCTCTGGCAGCTCTTCTTCCACCTGTCCCGGGAGCGGGTCTTCACGGAAGAGCGGGCCCGCTTTTATGGCGCAGAGATTGTCTCCGCCCTCGAGTACTTGCACTCGAAGGATGTGGTGTACCGCGACATCAAGGTGAGCACGTGGCCTCCAGGCGAGGGGCCGGGCTGGCCCATGGTGCCTGCGTGGGGCTCACGGCCTCCCCTCCAGGTGTCTGACTCCGAGCCTGTGTCCGCCTCCTGCCCAGGCCGGGTGGCGGCTCTGGAGCAAGCAGCTCTGTGCAGGGCCTCCCCAGCCCCTGTGAGCAGTGCTCCTGGGCTGCGGGGCAGGGGTTGTAAATTGGTAGGAACACCTTTGAAGGCAGTTCGGCAGAATGCACCAGTTGAGCATATGTGCGCCCTAGAGCCGTCCTGCTCTAGGTGTGTGCACACAGGAGCAGGTGCCTGTGTCCACCTCAGAACATGGACACATATCGTACCCTGTGGCTGGACACACGGTGGGCCTCTGCGCAGCAGCTAGAGAGCAAGCCCCAGCCACACACGATGGCGTGGATGCGCCTTGCAGGCTGACGATGAGGGAAGAGCCAGAACAGACGAGATGAAGCTATATGGTCTGCAGGTGCATACATAGGTGGAAAGCCGGAAAGAAAAAAGCCTGGTAGTAAAGTTACTTCTCAGTCATGATGGTTAATAACTGGGAAAGGGGCACATGGGGTTTCTAGGGGGCTGGTGGTGGTCTCTCTTGACCTGGTGGAGGTTACACAAAGGCTCACTAAACTGCCCGTTTGTGTCACATTCAGGAAAAATCAGGAAAAAGATAGTGTGTCTTACATGCTAAGTTGGGGACCTGCTACGCGTGGGTGGGGGAAGGTTGGGTCAGGGCCTGATTCCCATACCTTCCTGCCTGGCTTTTTTCCAGCTTCCCTGGGGCCTGGATGGGGATGTGTTGGGTCTGGCCTCCCTCTAAGCCTCAGAGGCAAGGGCTTAGCCTTGTGCCAGAGCTGTGCCCCAAGGCCCAGTCTGGAACTCATCGCCTGACAGCTACCACCCCAGGCCACAGCCCCACGTGGGGAAGGGCTGGGGTGCGCAGGGTGTGGGTGGGTGTGGCATTGGGGTGCCCTGGGAGGACGTAACCCTGACACATGGACTTTTCCTACAGCTGGAAAACCTCATGCTGGACAAAGATGGCCACATCAAGATCACTGACTTTGGCCTATGCAAAGAGGGCATCAGTGATGGGGCCACCATGAAAACCTTCTGTGGGACCCCCGAGTATCTGGCACCCGAGGTGTCTGAGGCTGGAGGTCCCAGGGGCATGTGAGGCCAAGGGAGGAGGGGCCCTCAGAGCTGTGTGTTCCCCCCACTCGGAGCCTCCACATCGGAGCAGGACGATGTCTCCCAGCCCCAGCAGAGCCATGTCCCCCTTGGGCCCCTCAGCTCCTCAGCCCCGGGGCCTGGCCCTGGCCGCTCATTGCCCCTCCCTGCTCAGGTGCTGGAGGACAACGACTATGGTCGCGCTGTGGACTGGTGGGGGCTGGGCGTGGTCATGTACGAGATGATGTGCGGCCGCCTGCCCTTCTACAACCAGGACCACGAGCGCCTCTTCGAGCTCATCCTCATGGAGGAGATTCGCTTCCCACGCACGCTCAGCCCTGAGGCCAAGTCCCTGCTCGCCGGGCTGCTTAAGAAGGACCCTAAGCAGAGGTGAGAGCTGGTGTCTGCCCTGCCCAGCCCAGTGCCACCTGCTGCCACTGTCCTGTCGGCCTGGAGGGGGGGGCATTGTCCAAGGGTACACTCACCTGTGGGCTGTGTGCCGCCCCCAGACAGCCTCCAGCAATCCCCAGAGCTGGCACTGGGGACCGAGTGTTCTCTTAGGGAAGTCTGTCTGTAGCCCTCTGCCCCCATGGCCTTGTTTTATGGGGACACCAAGGAGCAGGGTGGCCCAGGGTGACCAAGCTGTTTGTGGAAGAGCCAGGATGGAAAGCGCCGTCTGCTAAGCCCACCCTCTCGGCTCCCATTCTGGGTCGGAGTCCATTGCTGTCTTCTGGCTCTCACCCTGGGCACGTGAGCGCCCACCCTGAGCCTTGGTTTCCTTCTCTGTGGAGAGGTGGCCCGTGGCTGGGATAGGATGGTTAAAGGTTGCTTAGGGCTGGCAGCAGAAGCTCGTGCCCCAGAGCCAGCTGCCCCAGGAGGCGAGCACTCATGACCATCTCTGCGCAGGCTTGGCGGGGGGCCCGGTGATGCCAGGGAGGTCATGGAGCACAGGTTCTTCCTCGGCATCAACTGGCAGGATGTGATGCAGAAGAAGGTGAGCCCCAACACCTGCCTGCCTGCACTTGGAGCCTGGCTGCTTAAGGGTGGCCTTGACCCAGGTCTGTCATCCCCTAAGTCCTGAGTCTAGGCTCCTCTCCTCCACAGCTCCTGCCACCCTTCAAACCTCAGGTCACATCCGAGGTCGACACAAGGTACTTTGACGATGAGTTCACGGCCCAGTCCATCACAATCACACCCCCGGACCGCTGTGAGTCTCCGAGGCTCCCTCACCTGGGTGGGCCTGGCTGGCGGGGGAGGGTGGGGTCCGCTCTTGACCCAGTTCCCCAGGGAAAGCTCCTCGCAGGCCTCCTCAGTGGGCAGTTTGCCCTGCAGTCTGCTTACAGGGCTTTTTGCTGTTGGTATGTCCACCTTTGGACCTGGTGAGGGTCACCAAGAGCCATTGTCTGTAGCACTCTCCAGGGCTCAGGGCAGAGGTCTGCCCAGGAGATGTCTGGGCCCTCGCCATTGCCTGGGTGGCAGGTCCATGCTTGTCTCCTCAGATGGCCTGGGATTTGGGGGCCGGGCTGGTTCATTGACTCTGTAGCCATTTGCCTTCTTACTCTCACCTACCCAGTGCTAGACTCTGCTGGAGGTGGAGCAGTGACTGAGACAGCCTTGGGCGTGCCCTAGGGTGCTCCCAGTCCAGCTTGGGTAACAGACCAGAGAGGTCAGGGCTGGGGTATAGGAGCCCAGGGACTGGGGAAGCCCAGAGGAAAGCCTGACCTACCTGCAGGTTTGGGAGGAGACATGGCAGCTGAGATACATTCCTGGCAGAAGGAATGGCATATGGGATGCCCAGAAATGCCAGCATTGCATGGGCAGGGAACCACAGGCGGTCAGAGTAGGTGGGGGAAGGCAGGGGCCACTGGGACCAGAGCCAGAGTACCTTGGGGGTCACTGGGACGCATGGGCATGTGTTGCACAGGGAGCCATAGAATGGTTTGTGCAGAGGAGGGATGGACTTAACATCAGGGCTTTAGAAAGCCCCCTGGCTGCATGTGGAGGGTGGATTGTTGGGGGCAGGAGTGATGGCCAGTTCAGGGGCCTGGGCTGAGGAGTGGTGTGGCGCAAGGAGGAGAGCAGAGACAGTGGTGGGTCGCTCAGGAGGCTGCGTGAGTGAGCGAGCAGGGGCTGCAGCTGAGGGCCTGTGTCCGTGAGGAAGCGGCCAGGCTTTCTCTGCCCTGCTCTCGGGAATGGCCCACTGCCTGGGCTACGTGCTGTAACTGCCTGGGGCTGGCGTCTCCCTGGTGCCACCCCTGCCACCGGGGAGGCTGGGCAGGGCGCCCAGGAGGCTGCCCAGGCCCTTTGCAGATGGGGTCTCCCCAACCACCACTCCCACCCCCACAGATGACAGCCTGGGCTCACTCGAACTGGACCAGAGGACCCACTTCCCCCAGTTCTCCTACTCGGCCAGCATCCGCGAGTGAGCAGCGCCGCCGCCGCCACCACAGGACGCAGGCTGCCACCACCGCTGGGGGCTGTCTTCTCTTTTTTTATTTTGCCTTTTTTGTTTGTGTCCCCATCCTTCACGTTCTCACACCCATTTCCAGTTTTTTTCTTCAGCCCTCTGCCAAACTGGACTCCGTGGTCCCAGGGGCCCTGCCTCCCGGATCCTGCCCTGCCCTTGCCTTTGCGCCCAGACCAGGATGTGAGAGACTCTCCGCCGCCTTCCCCAGGATCATGCCTTCGGCGAGGGGAAAGATTCTGATTTTTAATTACCGCAAGCCCCAGTGAGGGGCAAAGCTTGGAGCCATGGGCCTGCCTGGATTTCCAGCCAGGGTGCCCACAGACAGCCTGCCCCCAGGCTGCAGCCTCCGTCGAGATTACCTTGTGGGACGTGACGCCCGGTGGACAGGGGCCTGGTGCTGCCCTCCACACCCTGTTGTTAGGCTCCGTGTGGCCTGGTGCAGGGCGATCCAGCTCCTCCTGTCATGGGGGCAGAAAAGCAATAATGTCCAGGGACAGGCAGGGGCCTCGGGAATCTACAAGGGGTTTAGAGCTCCCTCAAGTGCATGGGGCCTCATCTGCCCCGTGGGGAACCAGGAGGGGCCTGGGGGGCCGGTGCTGCCTCCTGGCCCCGCCTTCCCCACCTCATAAGGTGCTCTCCTGACCATGTGGACAAGGCAGGAGGAACATTTGGGGGCTGGCCTCCCAGCCCCCCCAGCCCCGTGCCTTACCAGGGCTTCCTTCCAGCTGGCCTTACCTTCCGCTGGACCCCAGGCCTGGCCCCAGCCCCTCCCAAGGATGGGGGCTGGGGTTGCCCCCTTCTCTCCGCCTGGCGCAGAGCTGTTACACATCTCGCACCGAGACAGTATTGGGTCCTGTGGGTGGGCTTGGGGCGAGGAGGAGGTGGGGGTGAGTATCTGGTACGTCTGGGGTGGGGGCCTCTGAACAGGGAGGCTCCAGGCCACCCCACCCCTTCCTCCTCTCAGGCCCCAAGTTCTACAGCCTTAAGGTAAACACGTGTCAGGGCTGTGGGCACGTGTGCGTGTGCCTCGGACTGTTTGTGTCCGTAGGTATCCCTGTGCATCTGGGATGCAGGTGACATGGGGGGTGTGTATGTGTGTGCAAGGGCAAGCCTGTCCTAGCCACGTGTGTGTGTGTGTGTGGGTGGCATGTGTGGGCTTGGGCCCTGACCCCGGCCTGAGCATTTCATCCTGTGGGGAGGGGTGCTGGCCTAGCGGGGGAAGCCGCACCTGGGGTCCACTTGCTGCCCTGTCCCTCCCCTCCCCTCCCCTCCCCTCCCTTCCCCCGCAACATCTCCGGGTGTATGGAATTTAGTTTTTGTGGTTTTGATCTCCCCACCCCACCTCCTGTACCAGACAATTCACAGGAAGACATCCTAGGGTGGGGTGAGGGTTGGTTTGGGCGGGTGGGGGGTGTTTTTTCCTCTTTGTGTATGTCATTTATCTGACAGTTCTCCCATCTTCCCACTGGCCTTTCCCTATTCCTCATATTTGTACGGTACAAGCAATAAAGACACTCGTTTCTGACCAGGGCTGTCACCCTGGGCCTGACCTTGTTTATGGGGACCGGCCCCCAGCACTAGCCGCCTCCTGCCCCCACTACTCCACGCACAGCGCTATCAAACACGAGGTGGGGAAGCAGGTGGAGGAGGCCTCTGAGGGTGGGGATGAGCCTGACCTGCATGTGCAGCGGGACCTGGCGCCTGGGGATGTGGAGGGGAGGAAGGGAGACTCAGCGTGGGAGCGTGTGCTATGCGTGAAAGCTCCCTGGGACTCGGGCAGGGGCATGGTGGACAGAAACCATTCCAGGCTCTCAGAAGCTGCTTAGGCAAAAGAGGTGGGGTGGAGGGACATGGGTGGTTCTGAACAAGGAGGGTGTGCGAGGTGTTGCTGAGCCCTGAATGTGAGCATGAGAGGGATTGGATTTGCTTCACATGGTCCTTGTGAAGGACCATTGCACAGCCCCTTCCCGCCCTTGTGCTAAACCAGGGAGAGGGACTTGTGCCTGCCGGTGGGGAGCGCCTCAGGTTTGTCTACAGCCCTCAGCTCTGGGAATCCTGATCGCTGTCCCCCTTACCCTGAGTCCCCATGCTTGAAACACTCCTCCTGGACCCCCAGACCAGGGCTGTCCCCGCCGAGCCCTGCATAGGTGAATTTGATATCATATTTTGCCAGGTATTAGGGCTTCACACACATGGAGTCTTTGAGATCTTTGGTGAGGGCAGTGGAAAAGTTGGATCCAGTTTATAGAAATCTGCATTAGCTACAGCTAAGACTCAGGGAATTTTGTTTTTCAGACTTTCTATGGACTTTATTTGATTACAAAAGTATGTCCTGGTAGGTGTTAGGTAAACAACAGGGACACTTACAGGGAAAAACCTCCTCTCTTCCCGTGGGTCACGGTCCCCCACTTGGGCACATTCAGGAGCCTACCTCAGGTTAGGGTTGTTTCTCACTCCCCCGGATGGGGCCCCGCAGACTGTTTCCCCGTTGAGTGTACGTCCTTAGGTGTCAGTTGTGCTCCTTAACTTCTGTAGGGAACTCCCAAAGAGGGAGTTTTAGGTGGAAGAGTTTCAATAAAGTTTTACCAATTTGAGTATATTAATCTCTTTTGTCATGTGCATGTAGCAAATTTCATCAGAAGTGGTATGTGGGTGTGTGTGTAAGAATAATGCAAGCAAAACAAAAGTATGAATAAGAACGTCCCAGGCCTTTGTACTCACTACTCTGCAGAGATGGACATATTTTGAAAAGATAGCTTCCCCTTTCCTTGCATAAGGCTTTCCTCTCAGTATCACCAGGCCCTGGGCTCCATCCTGCCACATCTTCCCCTTGCACCTACCAATATACGTGCATTAATAGGCTTGGTAACGATGAGATCCTCTCAACTCCTGTCTGGGTTTGGGGGCTCCACGGGACATTACTCTCCAGTTGCTTCACAAGGGCCCTGGGAGTGTGTGGGCCCCAGCTGGTTCGCCTGCCCACTGTTGACAGTTTACTTGGCTTCCAAGTTTTGTTCTGTTTTGCTGCTATCAGTAGTGCTTTAATAAACCTTAACAATCCACCTTTATTGCTCTTGGGCTTTTATTTTTGTACCGTCCGTGGTTGTATTTTAACATGTCAGATAGCTTTACAAAAAATGCATTTGATTCACATGCTTCTAACTTCAATTTGAAATAACTGTAGACTTGTAGACAACTTTGTAAGTTAAAAATAGAACTAAAATGAGCAGGGGATATACACCATGAACTTGGAGCATTTTATAGTGCCCGAATAGGCGGACCTGCTAACAGGTCAAAACTTCGCTGATGGGGGTCAGTAAAGGGACATGGGCGCTAGGGAAAGGGCCCCCTGTGCTAAAGCTGGCAACAATTTAAGGAACAAAGTAAATAGCATACTACTGGGTTACACTTAAAGTATAAAATGAGTCCATTCTGGCAACAATTTAAGGAACAAAGTAAATAGCATACTACTGGGTTACACTTAAAGTATAAAATGAGTCCATACTGATACAAGTGATAAATGGTGAGGAGAGACATACCTGGACAAAATTCCAGATAATTTCTGTGGATACTTTGCCTTCAAGAAAGGAGAGTGTAATTCCCATTCCTTAGGGATGGGCTGCAAGGTGACTTCCTCCCAAAGAGCAACTTTTCCATGGAGAAACCTGGCAAACGCTATGTCAGCCAGGTGATCAAGGTCAACATGAACAGCCGTGTGTCACGTTGGCGGTATAGGATTTTGATGTGCAATTTGTGTGGTACTTACCTCTGGTCTTCCTCCCCAGACACACTGCTGAAAACACATCTGAGAAACCCCAGCTGAAGGATCTTCTACAAAATGCCCGACCAGTAGTTCTCAAAGCTGTTAAGGTCATTCAAAACAAGGGAAGCCCGAGAAAGCGGCGCAGCCTGCGAAAGCCCTCGGAGATGTGACTAAATACTGTCGTGCAGGGGATCGTGGAACAGAGAAAGAACATTAGGTAGCAAGTCAGGAGCTGTGAATAAAGCTTCGACTTTAATGACAGTGTATCCCTGTTGGCTCATTAAGCTGTGACAAATGTACCACGCTAACGTTAATAGGAGAAAGTGGGTGCTGGATACGTGAGAACTGCAGTCTTCGCAACTCTCCGTAAATCATTGTTTATTTCAAAAAGGCACAAAGAATTCTCACCTACCTTTCACTCCGGTTCCCCCCTGAAACAAGAACCTTACACAACCACAGTCAGCTGTCAAGGTCAGCAAGTGAACGCGCTTCTCCCAGACCTTAGTCAGATCTTACTAATGCTCACGCTAACGTCCTGGCACGAAATAAATCAGGCTCCTGACAGTCCAGGCTCACTAGAGCATTGAGTTAGTCAGGTTTGAAACTTATGAGCACTTACTTTGCACACTTGTCTCTCAAGGGCATATTGCCTGATGTTTCCTCATGGTTATAGTCAGGCTATTTTTAGCAGGGATTCCCAGAAATGATTTGCCCTTCTCACGCAAACTATCAGGAGGCACATGAGAGGATCTGTCCCATTACAGGTGACCCCTTGGGTAAGATGCTGTCTGTAAGGTTTCTCCACTCTAAAGTTACTACGTTCCCTTCGTAGTTAGTATCTTGTGTAGAGATACTCTGAGACTGAATATCTGGGCTCTCACCAAGTGTTCAGGCAATTGGAACAGCAAGTGCAGAGGCCCTGAGGCAGGCAGTGCCTGATAAGTTTGGGGAACTTAAGAGACCAAAGTGGTTCAGTGGAGTGGGGGTGGGGAGAGTGGTGGGAAAGGGATTAGAGAGGGACCAATGGGCCAAAGTAGCTGTCAGCTAAGGTAAGGCATTTGGGTTTTACTGTGGGATAGGAAGTCATTGGTCTAGCATCTCACACTCCTTTCTGCTTCATTTTCCAGTCTCACTGACCTCTTAATGCCTGACAATAGCAAGCTCTTTCCTACCTGAGAACCTTTGCTTATGCTGTTCCTTCTTGGAATATTCTGCCCTCTCTGCATTCCTGACTCCTTCTCTTCCATGTTTCTGCTCCAAGATCACCTTCTCAGAGAGGCCCTTCTGGCCCATCATCTCTAAATTCCTCCCAGCGTGCTCACTTACTCATTCAATAGATATTTATATGTGCCAAGCCCTGTTCTGGGTACTGGGAATACAGCAGCGAAAAAACAGAGTCCCTGCCTTCATGCGGTGCACCCTCTTGTCAGGAGGGAGTCAGCAAATAATCAGTGTTAAGGAAGAATTAATGTGGAGGATGGGGACAAGAAATGCTCAGGATGGCTGTGGATAAAATGAGAGTTCCTGTGGCCAGGATTCTCACCTGGCCCTGGTTGACTGCTCACTGCACACCTGTGGGCAATACATGGCTGTTGACTATATAAAGAGCTCCACCCAGTGCTCTGGGCATAATACGGTGGCAGGGCTGCAAGGCTGCAGGAGAGCAGAAGCTGAAGTGGTGGCAGCACCGAGGACAGAGGCCCAGAGGACAGTTGTGCGGGACGGCTGTGCAGAGGCCAAGAGGATGGCTGTGTGGACAGAGGGGCTCAGAGGCAGAGACTGGCTTGCTGCACATAGACTCGCTCTGAGTGAATGGGATTTTAGTGACTGACCTGCCACCTGGAAATAAAGTTGGGTATAACCCTTTCATCCCAAGAATGTTTGCTGTCAATTTCTTTGGTCACATTGAATCCACAGCGAACTTGCCGGGGGCTGAAACCCATTGGCAAGACAATGGCACTTTTCACAGAGAAGGTAACATCTGAGTTAGCAAACGCCTTAAAGGGAGTGAAGGATCTCTGAGGCGAAAGCGTTTCAGTTGAAGGGAATACTAGCACAAAGGTCCTGAGGTAGGAGAGAGCCTGGTTGGGGTGAGGGGCCAGGAGGCCAGTGGGGTGGGAGAGGAGTGAGTGAGGGGGAAAGGAAGAGGGGATGTGCTTGAAGGTGTGTGCTGAGGGGCGGGATGATAGTTCAGGGCACCAAGAGGTTTCCAGCCTGAGGAAGAGGAGAGCCCCAATGGAGCTCTGGGCAGGCAGACTGAGCTGACTCAGGTGTGCACAGGATCCCTCTGGCTGCATGTGGGGAACAGACTCTAGCGGATGGGAACAGGGGAGCAGTGAGGCCACCCCTGCACTTGCGTAGATCAGCTGACCGCTGGCTGCTTGTCCTCAGCGCCACCTGGGCTCCAGGCCCTGAGCTTGGTAAAGGCCACAACCACAGTCATTCGCTCATCTGAATACCCATGGCGTGGAGCACAGGCCTTCTGAAATATTTGTTAACTGATTTATACCTTCCATGTCTTGAGCTTTTACTGTGTTAAGCCCTGTGCTGGACACTGAACAGTCTTATTGGAAACAAATCTCCACTTTATAGCTGTGGAAAGTGAGGCTCAGAGAGACTGCTTTCGGATCACGTGGTAGGCAGCAGCTTGACCACTTGACTCCAGCTGCCTGACTTTACAGGGCTTGAAGAGGGCAGAGGCAGCCTAGGTAGCATTCGCCATCGCCTATGCACCTGCCCAGGCGAGGCATGCTTAGCGCGCACGCGCCCAGGAGTATTTAAACCGTCCGCTGCTTGTCCTTGGCTTCAGCTGGAGGAGGTAGGCACTGGGCTCGCCCCTCAAGCCACCTTGAGGATGCTGGTGAGATGCAGGAGCCCGGGGCCCACCTCGCGGCAGGTGCCCCTCTGCAAGCGCCGACCTCTAGCCCTTCTCCCTTGCAGAGTCCGAATGCGTCCCGCGACCCCGAGCTTCGGAGCGCCCCAGCCCCCGACGGCGTCCCTGCGGACACGAGCGCCTCCCCAGGACGGCCGGAGAGGCCCCTGGGGCCGCGCGCGCCGCCGGGGCTGGAGGAGGCGCTAAGCGCGCTCGGGCTGGAGGGAGAGCGCGAGTACGCCGGAGACATCTTCGCCGAAGTCATGGTGAGCGGAGCCTGGCGGGAGCCCTGGGCCGGAGTCGCCCGCAGCCCTAGAGGGCCCCGGAGAGGGTCGGGTCAGACCAGCCAAAGCTGACCCGCCCACCAGCACCTACCCAACAAGCAGCCCCGGGCTGCCGCCGAGCTGCCTGGCTCTTAGCTCTTCCCGCTGACTTCCCAGCACCGGCGCCCCAACTCTTGGCTTGTTCTTTCTCACGCTCTTCCCGCGTAGCCAGGCTGTGTGCAGCCCCTCCTTTGGCATTTCATAGCCGCTCGTATTTGTCCCTCATATCTCTTCGTTTAACAAATATTTAGAGATTTATTAAATGTTTTTGAGCATGATCTAGGCATTAGGGATTCCGTGAGGAACATCAGCAGTCTGTCCTTGTGGGGAGATAAGCAAATGTAGGCGATTATTTCTGAAGGGCCACAAAGACGCCGTAGTCCCCGCATATCTGTATGAGACACACACTGTTTGGAAAAACACTGAAGGGATTAATTTATTTTATGAACTTCTGTGAGCATCTCTCCCGGACCAGGGCCTGTGTTAGGAACTGACATACAGCTGTGATCTGGACAGAAATTCCTGCCCTGTGATGCTGGCAGCTTAGTAGGGCAGCTAGACAAACACACAAGGAAATATCAGCTCACTCCAGACTGCAAATGCTAGGAGGAAAATAAGTGCTGAGGTGGAGGGATGGGATGCAGGGGGAAGTGCAGAAAAAAGGAACTCTGAGCTGAGACCTGAATGAGGAGTCGGCAATGCAGAGACATGGGAAGGCCCAATTCAAGTGGAGCGAACAGGCCGAGAGTGCAAAGGCCCTGAGGTCAGAATGAGCTTGACAATCTAGGGCCAAAAGGCTGTGGTAGCTGTGGGTGGTGCAGAAAGAGGGGGTGTCCAAGCAGGGGCTGGGCCTGAGGGTCTGAGAGGAATTAAGACTGTCCTGAGGGCACTGGAAGCCATGGGGAAGGTTTTAAACAGGGGAGTTTCCTGGCCAGATTTGTACTTAAGACCCTTCTGGGTGCTCTAAGGAGGATGGATTGAGGGCTGGTGGCCAAAAGTGGAGTGTGGGAATCGGGGAGATGACTCGGGAGGTCCCATGGCCATGGAGGCTACAGACTGTGGAGGTGGACAGGGAGGAGTCGAGGACAAAGTTCAAGGCTCTAGATGGGGATTCGAAAGAGGAGCGCGTTTCAAGGAGAGACTCGAGGCCGGTTTGGGTGCGGCACTCGTGCGACTTCCCACTGGCAACGATGCTGCTGCACCCAGGGCTGGAGCTCAGGAGATAAGCCGAGGCACAGGTGTGGGGATTGAGGCCATCCCTGCCCAACCCCAGGTGTGCGGCACGCTGCCTCGGAGGGCCCTGCCCCGCACTGTGACGCCGGAGATGCGGGCACTGGTGGTGGACTGGCTGGTCCAGGTGCACGTACGTACCCGGGAGGGGGCATGGCTAGGCCGGCTTGCCGCCTAGAGGTGGTCATCCGTGGCCTTCCCCAGGAGTACCTGGGCCTGGCAGGGGAAACCCTCTACCTGGCCGTGCACTTGCTTGATGCCTACCTGCGCGCAGGCCGAGTGCGCCTACACCGCCTGCAGCTGCTGGGCGTGGCCTGCCTGTTCGTGGCCTGCAAAATGGAAGAATGCGTGCTTCCGGAGGTACTTCGGGATGGGGATTGTGGGAGTGGAGCCTTTCCTCACCGCCTCACAGATTAAAAGCCCTACTGTGTGCCAAGCTAGCCGTTTACCTACTCGTGGAATCCTAGCATATCTGTATGAAGTAGGGGTTACCAATGTGTCCCTTTAACAGAGGAAGAGACTGAGGCACAGAAAAAGGAAGATATTAGCCCAAAGTCCAGCAGCTGGGACTTGGACTCAAGTCTTGAATATTTACAGTCCTTAACATGCATAATTAGGACTACGTGCCTAATCAGAATTGCCTGGGAGGTAGGGATAACATCTCCATTTTAAGAATGAGGTTCGGGATTCTCAAGGGAGCTTCAGCGAATTCCCATATCATACAGGGAATAATTAGTAGGGTTTGAACTCGAACCCAGCCAGGTCTGTCTGACTCTGAAGCCGATGCTCTCCATGACTTCCATACAACAAATCAAAGGCCCCATTTTACAGAGCAGAAAATGAGGTTCAGAGCGGTGACTGAACCCATCCCAGGCGCTCCAGGACAGGGAGTAACGGTGGGGGATCCAAGGCTCCCCGACCTCTTTCTCCCTCATCCGCAGCCCGCCTCCCTCTGCCTCCTGGGAGCTGGCTCCTTTTCCAGAGCCGAGCTTCTGCGGGCAGAGCGCCGCATCCTGAGCCGTTTGGATTTCCGGTTGCACCACCCGGGCCCGCTGCTTTGCCTCGGGCTACTCGCTGCCCTGGCCCGGAGCAGCCCCCAGGTGCGCGGGGTAGGAGAAGGGCACGCGGGGATAGGGGTATGGCCTGCACGGGATAGGGTAGTGGCCTGATTGGCCCGCAGCTCTGGCAGGTGATGCTACTTGCCACCTACTTCCTGGAGCTGTCTCTGCTGGAGGCCGAGGCCGCAGGATGGGAGCCTGGCCGTCGCGCAGCTGCGGCGCTAAGCCTGGCGCAACGCATGCTCGACGGGACGGGCTCCGGGCCCAAGCCGGCGCTTTACAGGTATGGCCTGGGGGCGGGTGGTGTTGGTGGTGTCTCTGTGGCTCAGCGACCTACCTTCCTGGTCACTGTCTTTACAGACTCAGAGAATGAAAGATAGTTATAGGTGGCAGGTGGGGGGCACCTAAACGATTTTTCTGGGTGTGAGAGAATGGTGTATATCTGTCTAGTCTCGGAGTTTCTGAGAATGGAGTGTTTGTCCAGATTTGGGGACCCTTAACCTTGGCCAGGGTGGAAGATAGGATCTCCTGAGGCTCGGAAGATGCTCTGCGTTCCCGGGTTGAGGAGTCGGCCAGCCTCGAATCTCCTTCCAAGGAATGGCGTCTTCCTTTAGCGGCTAGAGGCGCCCTCGCCCCCAACCTCCTTAACCATGCCACTGGGTGGCAGGTGCTTCCTCTTCCAGCCCGAGCGCCCGGGGTAGAGCTGGATGTCTGCCCATCCTCGGCCCCACACCTTCCCTCCCCGTGGTTCTGGCTCTTCCCTGGCCGCGCCCTGCGGGGAGAATCGAGGGTCGGCCCCTATTCGGCGCCCTCCAGTCACTCACTCTCTAGAGAGCCCCTGAGCGGTCCTCGGGGCCCCAAGTAAACATGTCTTCCCAGCCTCCGGTCCCCAGCTCCGAGGACAGGTCGTCTCCACGCTACCCCTGCCCCGCCTCAGTTTCCCCGTCTCCACGCCGCAGCCCAGCGGAGTTGGGCCAGCTGGAGCCGTGCATGGTCCGCGCCGCGCTCCGAGGCCCGGCGCCCGGCCGCGCCGCCATCTTCCTCAAGTACGCGCGGCCCCAGCGCCAGGGCACCAGCCTCGCCGCCGCCCGCCTGCTCCGCCGCCCCCAGCCCGGGCCTCCTTGAGCCCCGAGGCCAGATCAAAAAAGATTCCGTTTGTGTGTCCCTTTTCCACTTCAATAAAAGAGTTTCTTTTATTCCGAGCGCTCCCTGTCCTCATTGGTCGGGGAGTTCAGCCCCTCTCTCACTTTTGATTGGCCACTTTCTGGGTCTCTCATCCTTCCGATTGGATGTTCTCACCCGTAAATTGCTGCTGGGCTTTGCAATGTAAAATATGGACTGCTCCGCTAGGGGGCACCGGCGGGCTTCCGCGAGCGCTGCTCAGCCAAATAAAACCGAGAACAGCGTAAACGCTTGTGGGAGGTAGATGGTCAGAGATGCTGAAAGGAAAGTGCACTGCAAACTGAATGACTCTCGGTCTCATGGTTGGGAATAAACTAGGAGGGATGGGGACTGTGGGAATCTGTGAGAATGCCTGCCCCAGTCATGAGGAATGCTACCTTAGTGTTACCAGATGTTCAGATTTTGTTCAAGTGAAGCTGAAAATTTGCAATTCCATAAATATCTCTGCTTGTATATGTTGGCAGCTAATTCAATACTTTAAAGATGGTTGCACACATCACGCATGTTGGCCTTGGAGGTTCATCAGTTTGCGATAGTACCTGTTTTTGACAGCAAGTGTTCCATAAATGGGATCTGATATACTTAACCTCTGAAATGCCACAGTGTCAACAGGTATAATTATGGCACCAACCTTACAGAGGTGTAATGAGGATGTGAGTTAATATATGAGAGCTTAGGACAGTGCCTGACACCTAGTAGGTGCTGTGAAAGTGGTACCGCTGTGTTCTAGAAGGACTGTGGGTTAGGTATAGTTGTCCCATTGATACTGAGCCCCTGGCACCTAACCATTTAGCAGGTGCTCAGAAAATATTTGTAATGAATCAATAGGTCTCCACATCTTTAATGAAAACAAAACAAAACACCTGAAGTGCAGAAAGGTGACCTCATTGCTCTGGAATTCAGACTCAGGAATATTAGACTCTTGACCAAACTTGGGTTTGGGGGTTCAGAGAAGAGGGAGTTCCTGCCCCTGAGATGTTCAAAGTTGGAAGACCAGGGATGGCAGAGCAAAGTACTAGGAGAGAGAGAAGCAGATGCTGCTGTTGGAATGGAAGGTGCTGTGTTCAGGTTTGGGCCTGTCCAGTGGGACTTGCCATGAGATCTCCACAGGGAGAATGTGCAGTGGGAGGCGGAGGGGAGAGTCAAAATACAGTCTTGGTGTCTGGGTCTAAGGCCCAAGCTAGGGTCTTGTGGGGATGGGCTGGGGTGAGGTAATACATAAAGTTATTCATTCGATCATTCATTCAACAGCTATATATGGATGCTGACTCAGAGCCAGGCACTTACGATCAGTACCTCCTAGTCTCATGGATGATAAGAAACACAAGTTGTTGGTTGTCCATTACTGTGCCGGATCTACATCATATAATTCAGTCCTTACAACTGCTTTGCAGTGAGTTCACTTGTTATCCCCATACTACACAGGACGGCAAGGCAGAGGAAGATCTAAATTCCCACCACTTAGTAAAGCAGCTAAGGAAGGTTGAATACAACCACCTCATTCATCTTCAGTTTTTCTCTCAAAAGCCTCTCACATGTTTCTTTTCTGTATATTGTTTTATTATCATGCTGCTCACTCTGAGCTGTCACTCAACTGTTTTCCACTGTCCTACCCAGTGAGCTTAATGAGGGCAAGAAGTAGAGGCAGGTGCCTCTTCATAGCCTGTGGTACCTCCCCCATCCTGGCCTTGATCCCTCTGCATGCGCCTCCCCCATCCTGCCCCAACCACTTTGCCTGAACTTCCCAGGCTCTCCTGCTCTGGTCACTAGTCTGTCTCTCCACTGGACTAGTGGCCCAGTCCCTAGGGTAGGGTCTGAGGCTCTCTCAGTCCCTGCTGTGTCCCAGCATCATCCAGCCCAGAGGCAGGCAGAGAAAAGGTATCAGTGAATATTTGTTGCAGAGATAAAGGAATAAGTTTCAAAGTTGCTATTATGGTCCCTTGTTACCGAGGAGGATACAGAGTTCCAGACAGTTTAGCTTATTTGTCCAAGCCACACAACCAATGAGAAGATAAGCAGGGAATTGAATCTGGGCAGCCTGAGTCCACAGTTTGTGTTCTTATCATGAGAATGCCTAATGGGCTGGAAACCAGCTTTCCATGAAGTTATTGTCTTCCTGCTCTTTGCCCTAGACTTGTTAATTTCCTTCTAGAAAGCTTTGGGAGATTTGGGCATGGGGAGGAGAGCAGGCAGGAGGGTGGTGAGGACAACAGGAGTGGGAGGAAGGGAGAGGACGGCTGGGTAACTAGGACTGGGGCTGATTTTAAGGAGAGTGGGAAAGTCTTGAGGGGTTTCTCTAAACCCATAGGGGGAGCCGGAATCGTCTGCCGGAGGTGCGGGGGCGGAGAAAGGGTGGGGACCGGCCCCGTGGGGGGCGATGCGGTAGCTGCAGCGGCGGCCGCAGGAGTTTCCCACAATGCAGCGCGGCGCGCTGTCCCCGGTCTGATGCTCAGCGCTGCCCCGGAGCCTCCGCCGCGCCCGCCTCCTGTCCTCTCCCCTCCGGGTCCGGGCCCCTGCCATGGCTCGGCCCGACCCGGTCCTGCCTCAGAGCCGTCGGGAGGCCTGGGGGCGGCGCTCGACAGCAGCTTGCGGGCCGCTGTCGCGTTCAAGGCGGAGGGCCAGCGCTGCTACCGAGAGAAGAAGTTCCGGGAAGCCATCGGCAAGTATCATCGGGCACTGCTGCAGCTGAAGGCGGCGCAGGGAGCCCGCCCTGGGGGCCTGCCCGCCCCCGCCCCTGGGCCCGCCAGCAGCCCGGGGCCAGCCCGCCTCAGTGAGGAGCAGCGGCGCCTGGTGGAGAACACGGAGGTGGAATGTTATGACTCTCTCACGGGTACGAGCCGTCATGGGGCACAGAGGGAGCGTATGTGAGAGGAGTGGGAGTGAGAGGCAATCATGCAGCCTTGTGTGTGTGTGTGGGGGGGTGCTGGAGGCTTGAAGGGGGATAGACCTCTGGGCTGGGGTCTTAGGGGTTAGACCTCAGACCTTATCCAGGAGAGGCATCAAGGGTGTAAGGCAACACAGGGCTGGAAGGAGCTGGGATGCAGGAAATGGGCTCTGGACTGCCACCTGAGAACCTAGGGTGAGAAACACTTACCCTGGATGAGCCATTCAAGACCCCATCCCTCACTTGAAATTGCCCTTGGTACCCTCCTCTACGGAAACCTCCCTTAGTTACCCATAGAGCTTGTCTGTGTTTTTCGCGCCCTCTAGCGGCGGCGCAGATTGATTCTATTCTAATTGGTCAGAAGATTGGAGGCCTCTGGTAGCCGGAGCAATCCCTTAGGCCCGGTTCAGCTGAGGGAAAGGGTGGGGGTTCCGTGCAGCCTGAAGGCCGGGCTCCTCGCGGTCAAGTGAGGGCTGTAGGGTGCCGCCAGGCTCTGAGAGAACCGCCCCGGTGCCCCCGCAGCCTGTCTGCTGCAGTCGGAGCTGGTGAACTATGAGCGGGTTCGCGAGTACTGCCTCAAGGTGCTGGAGAAGCAGCAGGGCAACTTCAAGGCCACCTACCGCGCCGGCATTGCCTTCTACCACCTGGGTGACTATGCGCGCGCGCTGCGCTATCTGCAGGAAGCCCGCAGCCGGGAGCCCACAGGTGAGGGGCCGGCAGGAGCAGGGAAAGGGGCTAGAGCAAACAATGAAACGAGGGAAGGGCAGGGCAGAGCTGCTTGGAGGGAGTGCTGTACAACCCCCTCACCCCCACCCGACGTTGCCCTCTCCACCCACCTACTCCTTACACACCCACGCAGCTGCTCACTCACCATTCACCCGCCAAACATTTCCTCACCCATTGGTCTCTGACATTCACCCAGCCACCTCATCTATTCAGTCATTGATTTATCTGCTCACCTACTCAGCCACTGTCCTATCCACTCACCCTCCCCCATCTCCACTACCACCCCCACCAAACTCATTCATCCACTCACCAACCCATTCACACCCTTACCTATTCATTCACCTGTCCCCCCACCCACGACATATTGGGCACATGTTGGGATGCAGACTCCAGGGAAGGCAATGCCAGGCAATGTGTGGTGGGGAGGGGAGTTCAAGGTTTCTTCCTTGTGCTCTAAGAGAGAGCCTAGGAGTGAGCGAGTGAGTGAGTGAGTGAGTGAGTGAGTGTGTGTGTGTGTGTGTGTGCATGCTGTTTTGTAATAGCCAATGACCAGGGGTTGAGGGAGCAGAGGCAAGATTCATTTTCCTGGTAAGTGGTTTGGGGAGAACGGATTCCTTGAAGATGTCGGTGGAGGCTGAGTAGAGGTGTGACAGGGGTCTCTGAGCAGAGGCATTCCTGGCAGAGGGCATAGCAAATACAAAAGAATGGAAGTGTGAGATGCCCCTGCTCTGTTTGTTGTGGCTGGGGCTTTGAGGGAAGGGCTCTGGCAATATTGGCTGTGTGTGGGAGCCGTTGAAGGCTGGGGACAGCGAGGTGTGGGCCAAGGTGGTGCAGATACTACCTACCACCTGATACCACCCCTGGACACGCAGATAATGCCTTGCCCACCTCCCCTGCAGACACCAATGTCCTACGCTACATCCAGCTGACTCAGCTGAAGATGAACCGTTGCAGCCTCCAGCGGGAAGACAGTGGGGCCGGGGCTGGGACTCGGGATGTCGTTGGCTGAGGCCGACCTAGGGGAACTGTCCCTAGCCCCCCTTCACAATGTAACTTCCCTGACTAATGCTCACTGGTAAAGCACTTGTCACTGGTGACCAAAGCTTCTTTGTGTGGTGTTCTTGTGGGACCATGGGAGGGGACAAGGCCTGGGCTTCACTTTCCGGATCTCAGAAACCTAGAGAGGCCAAAGGAGGAAGCATGGGGTGGAGGGGTGTCCTACGGGGGATGACCTGGGATCAGGGCCCCGATGCCAGGGAAAGACACATAGCCAAGTGCAGTAGGGGGCAGGGGTTACCTTTAATGTTGTGTTTTGTGCCAAATCCCCTATGATGCCCTGTCCCTGAGTATCCCTGCCCACCCCCAACCCCCTGCAGGGCGGGCACAGGGCCCCACCCCCTGGGGTAAAAAGGAATAAATAAAGTGGTCCCCCTCCCCCCTTTTCCCCAATAAATAGAGTATCCTGCCCAGGGCCTCCCCCATCTGTGGCACAGTGGGCAGGGGCAGGGCCTGGGGCGCTACATTCATGGCTGCCCAGGCGGGTGGTGGTAGGCAGGCCTCAGCGAGAGCCATTGGCCCCGCACAGGGGCACTGTGCTGTCTTGGCTCTGCCCCTCCATGTCCATGTCAAGCAGTGTGGGCTGCATGCTGAGGGGCCCAGGGCTCTCTGGAGTGTCTGGCCTGCTCAGAGGCGAGATGCTGAGTGTCCGGCCAAAGGAGACCAGTTTCCAGGGGTCCAGGCGGGGGTGGCTGGCAGCTGGCCTGGGTCTCGGGGCAAAGGTCAGGGTGGTAGGACGGCCAGGGAACTCAGGGGGCCGGCGGTGGGTTGGGAACAGGGCTTGAGGGTCAGGCAGGCGGGGGAAGTCCAGGGGGTCTCGAGGGCCTGATAAGAGAATCAGACGAGATGAGTGGGGTGGGCCAGAGGCTGGTATTTAAAAGCCAGTAGCTCTCACATGAAAATGGGTATTTCTGACTTTTGAAAAATCTGATTTTGTTGGGCCCACTTTTCAGCAGTGGGTGGTCCTTTGCCTGGGCCTGGAGCGTAGGTAGTCGCTCACTCATCTGGGTGTATTCCTGATCTTTCCAGAGCCCGCTTCCTTGTTGCCCCTCTAGACAATGCCCTCATCCCTCCCAGCTCTCTTCCGGTGGGCTAGGTTCACAAAGAGACCTAGAGAGAAGGTGGGCATGCCACTGTCTCTGGATGGGGAGAGTAGCAGCTCACAAAATAGGTGAGGATTAGATAAAATAGTAACAATAATCATAAAACGAGCAGCCCAGTGCCTGACAGTAGGTACTTACCTCTCTTCTATTCATCTTTGTCTTTGTTAAAAAATGAATAGAGAACAGGGCCTAGCACATGAGTGTTAGCTCATGTAGTCATTCATGTCACCTGCCTGTCCCTGTAGGCATTAGAGTTTGCCATCAGGCTTCTTCCTGTGTCTCAGTCACCCGGAAACCACACGGCCTACAGCAGTGAGGGCCACGGGGACGCCCACCCTTCCCACGCTAAGGAGCACGAGGCCAACCTGTCATCCTAGGGCTGGCTGCGGGGCTAGGACACTGGACCTCGCCGGGGGCAGAGGAGAAGGGCCGTTTTCTGGGTGCGGGACGCCTCACTCACCAGGGCGGGGGCCCGCGGGCTCGGGCGCCCCCCGCTGCCCCAGCGCCCCGTCCGATGGCGTCCGCCGGTGCCCGCGGCTCACAGCACGTGCGGTGGTGACGTGGGTGGGCGTGAGCGACTGGCGGGGGTCCTTCTTGAAGCTCTCCAGCTCCAGGTCCACCAGTGGGTTGGTGCTGGGTGGGGAGGGCGGCGGGGAGGGCGCGGCCGGCGCAGCCTCATCGCTGTCCGAGCGCAGCAGCGAACGCGTGGAGTTGCAGTCAGACACGGACGACAGCGACACAAGGGTGGCCGAAGGCACCAGGCCCGGGCCAGGGGAGGCGTCGTCGCGGCGGCCCGGGGAGCGCCCGGGTGAGCTGAGACCCCGCGGGAGGCGGCCGGCACGCGGGAAAAAGAGGCCATCGAGCCAGCGCCGTTGTTCCTCGCCGTCGGCCGCACGCGCCTCGGCCACGTCGGCGCCCAGGCCCACAGCGCCCAGCAGCGAGGCGCAGCCCAGCAGGGCCAGCTCGCAGCGCCGCCGGCCGCTAGGCCCATGTCTGGCGGGGGGCGTGGGCGCGCCCGGGGATGGCTCGGCGGGCAGCGGCACGGTGAGGTAGGATGGGGTGGTGTAAGGGGAGGGGGGCACGCTGCTGCCTCCGTCTGCCTCCGCAAACTCCTCTGCAACCAGGAGAGGGCCATAACTCGACTTGGGGCTGGCCCTGCTCCCCGGGGACTTGGTGGCAAGGGGCTGTCCCCAGAGACCTTTCCAACAGTGAGACCTCCAAGCTGTGCTAAGCATGGATCTCGAACCATTCTACCCCCAAGCCCCTTGCCTCCGGGAATGACCCCCACACCGGAGGGTCTGTCCCCCTTTCCAGGAATGCTTTCTACCCACCTGCCCTGTGAGATCTGGCTCTCTCCCACCAGCCCTGGGGAACGGTCACCCCATGGTCTTGGGAACACCCCTCCCTCCGAAAGGCACCCTCACCCTCTTACCCATCTCATTGAGGCTGGCAAAGCCTGGGGCGATGGGTGTGTGTTTCGGGGATTTACCCAGGTTGGGGGCGCTCGATGACCACTGTTTGCTTCCTTCCCCCAGGGCCTTCAGCCTGCGGGGGGCACCAGAGATGGGGGTTTGGCTGCCCTGGGCCTGGGGGTAGGGCCCGGGGCTGGGCTGGGCTCCAGGGGCCAATACCTCTCCTCTCCTCCAGCCCGCTCCTTCTGCAACGTGGAGCTGGGCCCCCAGGTCCGGCCCTTCTTCTTGCCCCCAACCAGTTCTTCCTTCTTTGGGGGCCCACTGCGGCCCCACGTCCCACTGCTACCACCATCCACGGGAGTCACTAGGCAGAGAGAAACCATTCCATTACTGCATCTCGGAGAGTCTGTGCCTGCTGGGCTCCCAGCCTCACTTCCCCCACACTTTGGATCCACCCTCCCCCTGGAATCCAAGGGATCCTGGATTCTCAATCCAATCATGACCCTTCCCGGAGACAAATCCTTCCATAGCTTCCCAGTGTTGTGAGGACAACATCCCAGCTCCTCAGCCTGGCATTTGAGACCCTTCATTCGCTACTCGCTGTGGACCCTCAGCCCCCTGTCACTCCTCACAGCCTCACCCTTCAACCACCCACTCATTCCCCCATTTACTGAGCACCTGTGGTGTGCCAAGCTCTGTACTTGAGAAGACAGTTGTGGACAAAGCAGGCAAAACTCTCTGCCCTTGCGAGTTTATATGTATGTGGGAGAAGACGATGACCAACAAGAATCAGAGGAGGTAAGTAACCTGGGGTGTGTAGGGGGTTAGAAGGTGGGGAGTGCTGTGGGAAATATAAAGCAGGAAAGGGGCCTGGGGAGTTGGGGAAGGCCTCATGTTTGGGGAGGAATCTGAGCAAAGACTTGAAGGAGGTGAGGGAATGAGTCAAGTAGATACAAGGGAGAAGAGCATTCAGGTAGAGGGAACAGCAAAAGCCAAGGCCCTTGGCCGGATATGCCTGGAGTGTTCACAGAACAGCCGGGAGGTCGGGATGCCCGCAGTGGAGGGAGGGAGGGAAGGAAGGAGAAGAGGGATGAGATGGAGCTGGGATGCCAGGCAGAGGGCACTGAGTGGCACGGTGGGGGCCCCGTGCCTGCCAGCCCCCAGGTGGGCATGTCCACACCTCCATGCCTTCGCACAGCCTGCTCCCTTCACCTGGGAGTCTGCTCCCTTTCGGTCCCTCTCCTGGCCTGGTTGGCTACTCGCCCTTCAAGCATCCAGCTCTGAAGTAGTTCGTTCCTTGGAGAGTCAGTTGCTCTCTCTTCTCCGTTCCTACCACACTTTAAAGGTAGCCCAATATTAATACTGACTACCACTGTGTGTCACTGTCCCTGCATCTCCATAAGGACCTCCCGGGCCTGGTACAAAGCAGATGCCCAAACAGAGGTGCTAGAGGGGAATGTGTGGGGCAAGGCCAGGGGTGAATGACGGAGTGGAACAGACTCAGGAGTCAGCCTTGTGTCCCCAGTGGCTGTACCCCTGCCATGTAGCCCCAGCTGTGGCCATGTCCCCCCACAGCTGCCACCATTTCATTTGTCTCCTGCCCTTCTATAATCCATACCCCTCACACCAGCTCAAGGGAGAAGATAAATTTATCACATCACTGCCTTGCTCACAGCACTCCAGCGGCTCCTTCACGTTTAAAATTAGGTCCAGATTCCTTCTCCCCGCTCTCAGGGCCAGGTGTGATCTGGTCCCTTCCAGCCCTTGACCACAAGCCTTCTGCTCTCCCTCCCATTCGCTCTATTCCAGTCAGGTTGGCCTTCCGGGCTGATAAACAGGCCGTGCTTGTTCCCACCTCCAGGGCTTTGCCCTTGCTGTTCCCTCTGTCAGGGATGCTCTTCCTTTAGATCCGGCATGCTTGCTCCTTCTTACATGCAGGTCCCTGCTCCAACCTCAGTTTCCTGATGTAAGACAGCAACCTTTTCTATTGTGTTTCCCCTGATGAGAATGAGGGAGGGAACCCTGTTGCTCCTCTGGCTTGGTGCAAGGTCTGTACTCAAAAGTTTGTTGACTGACTGATGGGTCAGGGACTTGGGAGATACTCACGGCGAATGGCTCTCAGCCGGGGAATGATGCTCGGGCTTGCAGGAGGGCTGGCCCCATCGGATCCTTTCCGCTTGTCCAGGGTTGGAGAGGCCTGAACTGTGATCTTATGCTCAAAGCCTGCAGAAAGAAAGAGACTTGCCTAAGTAACAGTTTCACAGGTAACCAAAGAGCAGTTCCCTTTGAGAAAGGAAGAAGAAAGGCTAGAATGGATACACCACCATTTTGCATTCCTTAATGCAGCAGCAGTGTCCCCATCAGCTGGAAACCTCTTGTGAGTGCATATTCCCGGGCCCTCCCTGAATCAGCAACTCTGGGCGGGGGGAGTGCAGCCGGAAAACTGTGCATTGCAATCTAATTGTAACAAGCCCTCCAGACACCTCTGCTGCACACTCGAGTTTGAGAGTAAGGATCCTAATTGGATCCCTAATTAACTAAAGATCTAGGCCTGAGTGTCAAATATGCTGGCTTTTAGCCACATGTGTCAACTGAGCATCTAAAATGCAGCTTGTGCAACAGGAAGAACTGGACGTTTATTTAATTGTAATTAACCTATGTGTACATTTAAGAACAGATACTCAGTTGTTACTGGAAACATTTAAGCATGTTTGGAACAACTTGGGTATGTGAATCTACTTTTTCAACTGTAAATGTGATGGTAAATTTTATAAACTCTAAATACAGGTCAAGTATTTTTTATGAAAATTTAGCACCTGGATTGAGATACACTGTAAATATAAAATATGCACTGGATTTCAAAAATTTAGTGGAAAGAAAGAAGGTAGAATACCTTGCTAACAGTTTTTCTTCTATTGATTACATGTGAAACCATAACATTTTGGATATATTGGGCTAAATAAAATATATTTTATTTTATGCTAAAATTAATTTCACCTGTTTCTTTTTCCTTTATGAATGTGGCTACTAGAAAATTAAAAATAATCTTAAATTATACATGTGGCTTGTGTTGTATTTCCACTGGCCAGTGCTGTTCTAGGCACTACTCTACGGCTTGTAACATCACAAAGAGAGGGACAACCAGACTTTCTGAGGGATGAACACTGGAACACGACCTAGGAGGCTGTCTTTGCAAAAAACAACAAAAAATACCATCTGAACTTGGAACTGATTAAGATCCACCTATTAGGTTGCTTCACGTGAAACTTGTCTTTTCGCAGGTCGAAAATGGCTGAACATTAGCAATTTCACATGGTTTAACCAGATACCAATTTATAGGAAATTCAGGGCACAGGAGGACATGTTAAGCAATACCAGGGGGACGCAAACAGCAAAATCCAGACTGTAGGAAATGCTACAGGACAAATGATGAAGGTCCTCAACAAATCATTGGCAAGGGAGAAGAGGCAGCAGATTAAAAGATAGTCAAATAGTTGGGAGACAAAACTATAAAGAACAGTAAGGAAGTGACTGCCCTAAAAGTCAAGAGAGTGGTTACTCTTGGGAGTGATGGGAGTTGTGTTTGGAGGGGGCATGTAGAGGACCTCTGGGGGTCCGCAGGTTCTCTCTGCTGTCAAGGGGGCAATCGCGGTAACTTATTAAGCTGTGCAGTTTTTTGGTCTTTTCCTGATTGTGTGATATACTGGGCAATAAAACAATTTTAAAAATAAAAGGAAGAGATAAACCCTGGGTTAGGAATGTGCCCAGCAGCCTCTTGGGGGATGTGCAAGGGACGCGGGCGGGTACCGGAGGGCAGGCTGATGTGGCTGCCGCCTTCCCGAAGCTTGAGCAGGCGGCTGCGCTTGAAGTTGCCCTTGCGTTTGCGGACTCTGGGCTTCTCCTGGCTCAGCTGGCACATGAGCAGGTGCAGCTCCCGCTCCACAATGTCCATCTCGCGCTCGGCCAGCTCCTGCTCCCGCCGCCGCAGCTGCTCCTCCTGGAAGCGCTGCTCCTGTGCGGCCCGTAGCAGCTCCTCCTCGCGGCTCCGGAGCTCCTGGGGAGCACAGGGGCGGCTCCAGGGGGGGACTCACATACTCTGTCCCTGGGGATGGACTCAGGGCCACTGGATCTGTTTGGGGCCCTGCACAAGGGCGTCCCGCTGTGGGGCAAATTGCGGGCACCATCCAACTCACTCTTCACTAGCCAGGGCAGGGGACTGTGTTAGCCCAAAGAAAGGGGTGCCCTGTTTTTTTTCCCCTCTTTGATTTTTGTCTTCAGTCTGATAAACTTCAAACATCCACAAAAGCGGAGAGAGAACAGTACACCCAATGTACCCATCAGCCAACTTCAACAGTGATTTACACTCTGCATATTTTTTTCATGCATCCCCTTCTCTCCTCTCTCATTTTTGCTGTAATGTGTTAAAACCAGTGCCAGACACTATGCAGTATCACTTGTAAGTACTTCAGGGCAGGGTGTCTTACTCTTATTAATCCTTATTCGTACCATGCAGAAAAGCTCCCTGTGCCCCGTGTGGATCAAAGACTGGGGCTCACGGAAGGGACACCCTGTCCAAGGTATCAGAACTCAGCCATCCTGCTCTCTCCCTCCCACCGTGGCCCCTGCGGTCACCTTCTCCTTGGTCCGGAGGTCATTGAACATGTGCTGAATCTCCAGCTTCCAGTCTTCCTGCAGCGAGTGGAAGGACTCCAGCGGCATCTGGAACAGGGCTGACTGTTCGATAACTTCAAGCTGCTTCAAGATGCTGCGGAAATCTGGCCGGCCATGGGGGTCTGGGTCCCAGCATTCTGGGGTGGGGGTGGGGAGGGCAGCAGTGGGAGTGGAGATGTCAGTGGCCATGTTCTGGGGCATCGGCCTGCTCAGCGGAAGGCAGGACTTTGAGGGACTGTGGACAAACTGCTTCCACAGAGCTGAGGGGAAGGAATTCAGAGCTGAAGTTTTGGCAATATTTCACTCAGGGAATCTCAGAGAGAAATCCAGGGACCTGCTGACTGGTAGTAGAATCAAGGATTAGGGAGGAATGCCTCCTAACAGGTTGCCATCAAGGGCTGTGGGCCTGGTCAGAGCAAGGGACTAGGGGCATGGGGCCAACTGTGCTCTGAGGGTTAATGCCCCTTCTCCCTCACTCCTGGACCCACTGGTATGGATGGGTACGAAGGGGTGAGGTCTGGGCCCAAGGGCCCCTGCCACCCCAAGCTGAGCCTGTCCTCTCCTCGGGGCCCCAGCTCACCCTCCAGTAGGCGGGCAAAGGGCTCGGGGCACGTGGAGGGAATGGGTAACGTCAGCTTGTTCATAGCCACGCCGTACGCCACAGCCAAGGCGTCGATTTCACGGTAGGGGACCTCACCCGTCAGCAGCTCCCAGAGCAACACCCCGAAGCTGCAGGTGGGGAGAGGGAGGGTGATACCGCAGCCTACCCCAACCCCCACCAATACCCCAGCCCTGCCCCTGGTCCACAGTAGGCTTCCCTTACCCCAGCATCCAGCCCTGGCAGATGAGGCTGCAAGAACTGATTTGACCTTCATCAGCCTGACTTCAAACGAATGTGGTGGGGTTGGCTTTCTGTCTCCCTTTTGCTCTGCCTCTCTTCCCTCACCCCTGCCCAAAAACCTTCAGGGGATCCCCTGTGCCCACTGGACTAATCCACCCTTCTTAGCCCTGACCTCTGATGATCCCCACAGCTTTGCTTCTAAGCAATCTCAGTCCCTGTAGCAACCCCAGCTTCACCTCTCAGCCACACTGAACAGTTGAACAAGCCCTATTTTTCCTAATCTCTAGCCTTTGCATATGCTGTTCCCTTTGTCGAGAACACCCTTCCCTTTGCATAACTGTCCTTTCAGTCACAACTCAGGTGCCCCCTCTGCCAGAAAGCCTTCTTTGGTTCCACCGCCTCCAAAGCTGGGTTAGGGGCCTCTCCTCTGTTCCTACAGAATACTCGGCACTCACCTCTAAAAACCAGTTTATAAAACATTTATAAAGCACTGCCTCCAGGCCAGCACCATGCTAGACACTCTCAGTAATCCTCACAACAGCCCTGTAAGCAGAAGGTACTGGTATGACCCTACTTCATCTGATGAGTAGGTGCACGCTCAGAGAGGCCGAGTTGCCTGCCTGAAGCCACACAGTTACTAAGTGGTGAAACCACACTTAGACTCAGGTCTGATGCCCACAACAGTGTCCTTAATGGCTCTGCAATACCAGAGCACGTGTCTCTGTGCTACAACGGCCTGTGGCAGTCTTCTTCAGTGAGCTGTGCTCCTTCTGGATCCTGACTGCTGTTCTGTGCAGTGCCTGGCGGGTAGTAGATCCCCATGCTCCCCATATCCATGCATGCATCTGCTCAACATACACTAATTAAGTGTCTGCTGTGTGCAAGGGACACAGCCCCTGCCCTCATGCAGTGACAGCCTCTCCTCCTTTCTCAGAGACAGCACTGGTCAATTTGAGGGCATGTATGCTGCCTGAAATGATCCCTACCCCTCACCTTCCTGTGTAGCTGAGTATGCCCACATGGCCCTGGTTTGGGCCCGGGGGATGTAGGAGGTGTACAGCACGCACCTGATTTCCAGGAAGTGTCCTGAAAGAGAATGGGTGCCTTTCTCCTCTTTTCTCCTTCCTACTGGTTCAAATGTGGACATAAGAGCTGGGGCTCAAGCAGCCATTTTGGATTATGAAGTGAACTTGGAAATGGAGGCCATGCAAGGTGAAAGAAAATACAGTGGCTTTCAACTGGAGGTGGCATGAACCACCCACCTCTCCCATATCCCTGGAAACCTGTGGGGATGTTCTGATCTTCATAATGACTGGGCAGTGCTACTGACACTGGTGCCTGAAAACTACGGATACTCAGTATCCTGAAAACTACAGGACAGGACCACACGAGGAAGGAGTGCCCTGCCCTGTGGTAAGGAGCCCTGATGCAGGACCTGGAATCCCTACTGCTGGGGCCACCATATCAATCTTGGGCTTTAAAGGAGAGTAGAAACTTCAGTCTTGTTTTCATTTGGGGTTTTCTGTTCCTTGCTGCTGAAATATGGCTCCATTCAGTGTTTGGTACTACAAATCAGATGAATACCTGATGTAAAACCAGTCAGAACTTCCCTCAAAGGGCTGTGCTGCTCTACTTAAGACTTCCCATCTATCCGTCTGCCCAGAAGCCATGCCTTTGCTGCTTGGTCCGTCTGGAGCTTCAGCTGGGAACTGACCTGGCCTTGGCCTCGCCCCAGTGGAAGGCACTGGGTCGAAGTTTCTGCTGCCACCAAGTCTCACTGGCAATGGCAACAGCCTCCTCCCTGGCATCCCACCCCCACTCCTGTCCCCTGCAGCCCCGGGGATCAGATTTGCAGTGCTAAATCTGATCACATCGTTTGGAGGTGCCACTGATGGCTTCCCACTGCACTTAGAATGAAACCTGCAGTCTGGTCCCTGATCTTTGGGGCCCTCCGGCTCTCTCTCCCATATCGTTTCCTGCCAATTTCCTCCTTGCTGGCTCTGCTCCAGCCACATGGGCCTCTGAGCTGTTTCTGGAGCACACCGGGCTCATTCACACATCACTACCCCCTTTGTGGTCCTGTTCCCTCTGCCTGGGAGGCTTCCTCTTCCAGACTCCCTACGGCTGCTCCTTCTTGTCATCCAGAATTCAGCTCAAGTATCACTTCTCAGAAAAGCTCTCCCCAAAGTCATCCCCTACTCTCAGAGTGCTTTTCGACCAACCTCCTAGCTCTTAATATTATGTAATACTTTTTCTGGTGGGTTAACTTATTTTTTAGTTATTTTACAATTTTCTCAACTTAAAAACAGCTTTCAGCTTGTGTTATTAATTTATTTAATTATCCTTGTAGGTGGGAAACATGTCTATTTTGTTTACTGCAATATCCCTAGCACCCAGTGAAACTGGATGGATGGGTGGGTGGATGGATGGATGGGTGGGTGGGTGGATGGACGGATGGATGGGTGGATGGGTAGGTGGATGGATGGATGTGTGGGCGGGTGGATGGACGGATGGATGGGTGGATGGGTAGGTGGATGGATGGGTGGGTGGATGGATGGATGGGTGGGCGGATGGATGGACGGATGGATGGGTGGATGGGTGGGTGGATGGGTAGGTGGATGGATGGGTGGGCGGGT